TTTTTTCCATTGCATTCTAAAATATCTTTTTTTTAATCATTTTATTGTATCCTGTACAATTTTAGCAGATTTTTACATAGTTTTTATTTGATTATTTTTATGGTTGGTTCCAAGTTACGAAAGAAATTCCATTAGCATGCCTTTAGCTTTTTTAAACAATGGATTGGTCAGAGTTTCATCCAGTTATAACTACCGGTTCCACTACGGTTCCACTGCTACTATTGAGGTGAAATCCGGGTAAGGTTAGGGACAGGTTTGGTGGTATGGGTAGGTTTAAGGGTGGTTTAAGGTGTGAGGGATGGGTCAAGAGTGTAATTATAAATGTAATCACAGAAATGTATTACAGATGTAATTACATGCAGGTATTTTTTAAAATATAAGTACAATGTAAAACATGTATGTACACAATAAGTGCATTGTACCAAATGATTAATTTAAATGTAGGTACATAGTAGTTATAATTTGGGACCAAACTAACTGTTCTGGTCACATGCTATCACTTTTACAAACCTTTGCTTTTTAGATTAACCAGCTAAAATGGTTATCAGCTTTCTAAAGTGGATCTATGAGTAGTGGGGCCGAACAGCTCAGGAAAGGGACAGCTGAGAAAGGCAAGAGTGCATCCTTTCCTGTGAGCTCAGTAAAGGACAGGTTAATTACAGAGTCCGATCGGGTGAGGCCAGGTCACAAAGCCCTCTCGCCACAACTCTTGGATGGCGGCCCGTTGACAGATGGTATGGGAGTGATTCCCTGCTGAAATGGGAAACAAAGGATGACCGTTATAAGTCTCCACACTTTTGAATCGCCTTTCACACTTTTTGATCAGCCTCCTGCTGAAGCCGAGATCGAATTACACCAGGAAAACACCAACCGAATCACACAAAGGGATCATAAAAAGCTGATGTAGTCAGAAAACAATTCAATTCCACATAAGAAAATGCCTTTTATTTTACACTGTGCATATTTCCCTTAGGGGATGTTATTGTGGGATCAAAATTGATATTATGCTCTACTGCGCTCTACTTTCAAGGTCCCACCTGCAAGATTTGAAGGACGTCACTCACAACATCCACTATGAGGCCTATAGGGTGAAAAGACTTAACGAGAGCAATGCCAATGGACTGGCGCTTTCACCTTTGACCCTGGAGAATGGTACCCTAGAGAAGAGCGATGCAGAGAGTCACCTTTGAAAGGGAATGGAGCGTGTGCCCGTCCTTCACCCTCAGTCAGAATGGGAGAGATGAACATTTCACTTCTAGATTGCCATTGATGGAAAATCGACACGTTTGACTAAAGACATTTCTGCTTAGGCGTGTAAACGTCATATATGAGTCTATTTTTGAAATGAATCTATCTTGTGGGTAGGGTTCTGGGATGAATTATGGGTAGAATTGAACCAGGTTTTGGCTAAGAGAAAGTTTCCCTCTATTTTTTTTCTCTCTCTTGATGTTTTTGATCCGTTTTCTGACGAATGAAAGGCACAGAGGGTTGGCATGTTGGAAAATGTGTGCGTGTGTGTTCGTGCACGCCTGACACCTCACTGGATGAGAAATTCCCATAATCCCTATCTGTGTTACTGCACCTATATATTTACGCTGAACCAGTAATGTGACATACTCCTTTTGATCTTTTATTTTCGTAATTATTATTTTTTTTTACCACAAAATATGATCTTTCCCTGTACTTTTGTAAAAGAAGAGGTTAAAAAAAAAAACTTTAGACAAATATTTTTGTTACCATAGCTGCTTCGAAGCTGAAGGTATTTTCTTAACAGATCCTTAAAGAGTCTCTTACTGCTATCCATAAATGACTGCTGTGATGATAGCCAGTGTGTTGATATAACGGGACATTTTTCAAATATAACCTTTGACCTTAAAGGTCTGGTGTGAAATGTAATACTATTGATCATTTCTAATGCAGAGATGGATAAAGGAACAAGAGAAAGTCGATTCTTACTGATGTTTGCCGTACAGTAACCGGTCAAGCTTACGGTTGTATGTAGGGATGTTTTTCTTTCACTAACCTAGTTAACTTACTGTTTAAAGGTACACATTGTGCTGTTTACTTCTCTCCCCTGGACGTCAGGAGTCCATCTTGCCCTGTTGCTTATCAAAGCTATTGTACATATCCATAATGTGTTCTAATTTTCTATCACAGCATCACATTTTTTTACTCTACATGTATTAGCGGCGTCATCATCATTTCCTTGTTACTAATATTACTATACATGTAAACACCATTGATTTATGATTAAAAAATTGCCACCGTTCAATTTTTATGTGGAGCCACTGATCAATGTTATTAGTTTCATTGGAGATTGCTATAATATTATACACTACCGTTCTAAATTTTGGGGTCAGGAACATTTTCTTTTTTTGATGAATGATAAGAAGTGTCTTAGTCTCACCAAGGATGCATTAATTCGTACAAAATGCAGTCAAAAACGAATTAAAATTTCAAATATCTGTTTTGCTTTAATATATTAAAAAATACAAATTCTGTAATGGCAATGCTGAATTTTCAAAAGCCATTACACCAGTCTTTAGTGTCGTCATATCCTTCAGAAATCTTTCCAGTGTGCTGATTTTTTATATTATTATCATTATTATTATTTTATTCGTTTTATTACTAGTTGGAAATGGTTGTGCTGCTTGATGAAGTCCGGAATTTAATCTAAAAAGGTCAAGAAAAATAAATCTGTTGACATTATAAATGTCTTTACTGTCACATTGGGTCAATTTAATGAATCCTTGCTGAATAAAATTCATTTCTTAAAAAACAAAAACTTACCGACTCCAAACTTCTGAACAGTAGTGTATCTTCATGTTTATGTGATAGTTGTATGTACAATGACTTGGAATGGAATCTGTTATTATTATAGAATGGCCTAAACTCTTTACTGAAGACCGACAGTTAGGCAGCCGTCTTTCTGCATTTAAAACCGTAATCATACCTCAACAGTCGCTTCACCTTTGATCCGTTTTCTTCTTGTCCTTGTTTGTGTTTTTATCATTTGTGAAAGCTACTGAGTGCCAAGTGAAGACGTTTTCTTTGCGACTTGCTTCAGGAGTGTTAACATCAGGCTAAATTTGCCAAAATAGCTTACTTAAGACTCTTATATAACACATGCTTATAAAGCAGAGCCCCAACTGCCTGATTGAAACATCTTTTATCAAGCTCTGTGGGATAGGTTTTTGTTGGCCTGCAAAGCACAACTAAGCTTTTCTTCGTTTTCAGAGCCTTATTCATTAACAAAAATTGGTCTCTGGGGTTAAAACACTAATACAAACGGTGTGTCTCAAAATAGGCAAGGTAGACGTGTTTGTGTGTGCGTGCACATTCAGGAAGCAACATTCAAACATACAGTAACAGCTAACAACATGTCTTAAAGGAATAGTTCACCCAAAAAATAAAAAATCGGTAATTTATTCACCTTATCACCCTTATATGTTGTTCCACAGAAGCAAGCTGTACAGTTCAATCATTAAATACATTTTGCGGTGAACTACGCCTTTAACAATTGACTGTCAGAGAAAATTAATGACGCAAATATGGTGCTTATTTTGTACAATTTTACTAAAATGGTGCAGACTGGAACCAACCAACTGAAAACAACAACTCTTGTCTGACAAGGCACTGCAGCCATGAGATGGAGTTCATAAAACTTTGTCTTTTTTCTCTTTCATTTTAAATTAACCACTACAACAGTTTTTACAGAAAGAAATGTACCCTAAATAACTGAGAACTGTGACATGCCCATGTCACACCAGAGAACTAAAATACCAAAGAAATGAGAGAAACATTTTAGATAATCAGTGTGAGGCAGATATCTAACATTGCTCATTAGGCTGTTGAACCACATTCACCCAAACCAAGTGTTTGCACCAGAATAAAAGTCGTTGTTACGGACCCTGTATGAATGTCAAAAGCATTACTAATATTGGTTTAGTATTACATGTACAAGTACATACAAAGAACCAACAAAAGAGCTGTTTTCTGTTGTTGAATCATGTTGTTCTCAAATTTGATAAAAGAAACAATCCTGACATATGTTAGTTGGGAAGAGTTGGAGGAACCGATGATTTATTCTATTCGCTTAACAATTAGAAGCACCAGACATTTAGAGTTAAAAGCAAGCTGGAGGGTGAACAGAAACTGCCAACACACTCTGGATGTGGTAAGCTAGTAAAACTCCTTCAGAGAGCAAGATCAGAGGAGCACGATTCATGGAAACTGGCCTTGAAAATGGTTTCAATTTACAGTGTAAATCAGACAGAACCACTCCATACCTGCCAGCCCGATTTGTCTGGTAAGAAAGCGAAATTCACACAGTAGTACCAGTATTTCATTGACTCCCTGCCTCGATCGTATGAGGAAGGCAGCAGGCGTAAAGGTCAATGTAGACACACAATAAACATCTGCTAATGTTCTTGCATTTAGCCCGTATTAACATGTCTTTGATATTAGCTCAATGTACAAAGTGAAACAAGCTTAAAGGCACAATATGTAAGATTTTTTGTTATTAAAATATCCAAAAACCACTAGAACAGTTATATATTTTGCTGACTTGTGAACTTACATTATCCCAAATGTTTCGAAGAATGTTTAAATCCAGAGTAATAAGCAATTTTAATTAGTGACACGGATTATGTCCATAGTGTCATTGTGTCGCCTGCCAATGACGTCATTACCCCTCGATTTCCGGTTTTGTAGAAAATATGGTAACACCAAAGACACTTTAATATGTTGTGCGTTTTATTAGACCGGTGACGACCGCACAGAGTAGCATTATAACAGAACTTTCAAACATATCTAGTATGATAAAACAGCGCTGCTTTTTTCCCCCTCGTTTTACTTCCACGGCTTTCAGCCTCACCCTGCTTCATTCTACTACGTTAATAAATCATTAGCTCATCCATGAACATGATTTCTGCCCGAGTCCCGTCGGATTGCATCGGCTGTGGGGATGAAGACCACAACTCCCATGATTCCTCACGGGGTCATCAAACTACGCCTTTGTTTCTTTGTTTTGAATATGCGCCCTCCAGCAGCGAAAAGTTACATGTTGTGCCTTTAAGTCTTTTATACTTTCCATTGCTGATGTTACTCATCGCTAAAAGACATTAACCTTTTTGCATATCTTGCCTCTTTCTTGACCAGGTTTCTCCATTGGCTCGTTTTGTTGAAAGCGGTATGGACGTGTGCGCTTAGAGCCAGGCAGCCTCAAAAACAGATGAAACCTTCTGACAGATGACCTCGACATATTGATAGATATTTACAGATTACAGTGGGGTTAGTGCATGAGTTATTATATTTATATTGAGGGTTCTATTAGGTGAAAAAGTTCCCACACACATAAACTCTCATTCTATACAAAAAGGGGAAAAGGCTCGGTTTGGAAGTGAAAACGATAGTATTTATACAAGATTAATACAATATCTCTGACAGTTTCATACAGTTGTCCTCAAATACTATGCAATGCCCTAGCGATATATTAATAATCTCTCTTTATTTCATTCATCTCGAATGGTTGTTTCTATTATGGAGACATACGAAATGAAAATCGCTTTGATGGGATTTCCTTCAGATCTTTGCTAGTGAATAAAACCTGCCGCATTCTTTGTAAGACTATCAAATGAGTGTAAATACTGCAACATGTCTTCTAATAGTTATCAGGATACCTCATATGAGCGCAGGCATATGAACTGGTGCAGAATATTTACCATCCAATCCTGGACACAATGCCGATTCACTATTAGGCTACTAGACTTTATGACAGCGTCTCTCAACTTACATCCATTTTACAACCAAAAACAAAAGAGTTGAACTAGATTAGTCATTAAAGGGCTAGAAAAGGTAGGTCAACTCACTGTTATTGCCCTTCCATTCTTCTGTCAGCTGTGTGTCAACAGTCTGCCCGCCAAAAAAAGCACGTGCCTCAGAGACCGCGGTTATTCTAACCGTCGAAACCATGGTTTTAAAAAAGGGGCAATTCATCTGAATAAAGCTCAACTCCAATTTCCATAGTAGACCCCATCAAAAAAAATAAAAAATTTAAACTTCTACACAAACCTCGTACAATCCTCGGAACTGTAATAAATAAATAAATATGTTCATCGTGTCAATAAATTAACCCATTAGCAATAATAAGTAAAAGCAAATAAATACGTAACAACTTCAATGATTCAAAAGATAAAGTCCCACAAGGTAGTAAGATTAAAAGTCTCAGGGGATCTCGCCTTTAGCTGTGACCCCCCATTAAACAGGTCACCAAGAAGAGAGATCGACTGTCTGAGGTGAGTGCTAATGTTTATGCTAATGTGTCTTTTAGTCGATATAATCTGTTATCTTTAAAGCCTAATGAATTTAGAGTGAGATAGTGTAGTGCCCACTTAAAGACTGTGATGTTGGAATTACACTGATATAGTTTCCATCTGTTTGTTCTACACTTTTTGGAGTAAGATTAGCTTAATGTTTGAATCTAAGAGGTTTATAATAGCTGGAGAAAGCTAGCAATCAATTAGAATTGTCATTAATCTCTACTGGCAAAATGGTTGTTAAAAGAACTGTTCACTGAAAGATTCTTTGGAAAACTGAATATGGTTCTTCAATGCCATCACTCTAGCAGCCTTTGTTTTTAAAAGATAGTTATTAAGTCAAAATATGTTGCTAATTTTGGATGGCCATCAATGTACTTCAATCAATACTTTTTGCATCCAGATGATGTAGTTCAGGCAGGTACCAGCAGGGGCGCTGGAGTGGGACAGCATGCCTAAAATCTCAAAGTCGACTAGTACATTTCTGTACACTTTCCTGAAGAAAAACGTACCAAATTGCATGCACTACTACCATATCTGTCCACAGATGATTAGAATATTCAGAGGTAAACACATTTCACTAGTTAGGACTTAGGGGTTGCTTTTAAATAAATTATTTGCCAATCTAAGACTCTAAAATTGTTCACCACGCCATATTTTCTGCCACTTTGCATGTGTTAAGTTTGAGACACCACAGCAAACCCATCTGAGATGATCTGAGCAGCACTTTAATCTCCTGAGAGGACAAATGCAGGGTTCGGTATGGGGTATGGAGTGGGTTGGAAAACAACAAATGGCTGGTTTCTGCAAATTCCCCTGCGGACCTGTATTCTACATACCCCATGATAAAATGAGGTAGGGAGCACAATTGTGAGGGCGAAGAACCTGGCACCTCTGAAAATAAAAAGAGGCCCTGCTTATCTAAGAGCAGACATGTGGGTATTGCTTAATGGGAAAGCAAAACTGCTAGATGAAGAGAGACTACTGTAATAAGCTTGTGTGGGATGCTTGTGATCACTTTAATTACACTGGCCTGCCTCTGCATTTGATGCAAATCACTGTAAACCATATTCATCAGATGTATTTAAAAGAACTCGGGCTGAAAGAGAAACTATGGTGGTACTGCCAAGTTGTCCGCTGCTGTAATGGTTTGGCCTGGTGACAAGTAAGCAATGACGTGCCGTTTCAGTCTATGAAAGGATGTCACGTGGCCCAGCTGCATTATGGGATCACTCAGAGATCTCATCTTCATTTGAATCAGGATTAATATGGAAACCTGCACAAAAGCCACTAATATCAATTGACATCAAAATGGAATTCAAATAAAACAGGCAGATGAAAAAGCCAAGCTATCTTTTGTACAAACCACAGTCCCTTTGAACTATATTAAAATGTATGAGCAGTCCCCAACTCAAAATATCTGGAAATGTCTTCAAAAGAGCAATCTGCTGGGAAAAATAACCTCCTGACTTCTGATTATGCTGGTTCCTTTCAAAGGACAGTACCTCTTAATACTGTACCTTCACCGTACCTGAATTTCCATCTTATTCAAAGTGTCCAAAACCGCGAACTCATACCATAAGTTTCACAGTAATCCTTCTCATCAAAAATAATACTTAAAAAAATAATATATAAAAAAAAAAGACAAAAAGAGAACTGCATGACAAAAAGCAAGTAGCGTTGGTGTGAAAATCTACGTAGTTGTTCATCTCTAAAGTTCTCGATTTTTCCCTTGATAAGACACAGAGATGGAGTGGCAGCACCACTGAGGGGAGCGAGAAACCCGGATGGCGCTGGACAAAAGCGAAAAGACCCTGTCGCAGTGGCTCCTTAACCCCGTTCTTTCCCTTAAATGTTTCGGTTCCTCTCTACCTTTCCCTGGATATGAGAGACAGCTCAAGCAGGCAGCGCACACCTTTGTCACTTCAAGATAAACAGTTTTGGATGAGACATGGAAGCTAGTCTCACAGTTCAGTGGAGGAACATGTTTTATGTATGTGTGGGGGCTGATTCCTATGTGTCATGTTATTTAATGAAATATCTAGCCTCTGACCCACTGCGCTTTGTACATTTTCCCTCTCGCTCATCAGTCCAGGCCCGTTCCGACCTTTTCTTTCCGATTTCCTTTTTTGTCTTCCATGGCAATGATCCCTTTTCACCCCTCCAGAAAAAAACTTCCACTCAATTTCTCTCGTTGATTCTTCCTGTGGGTCCAGGATGAAGTTGGGTTTATCATCAGTCTGTAGGAGGAGGTTTTGGTGATGTGGTGGGTGCTGGTGCCCATGAAACTCTTTGCTCTATTCGATGACCATGCAGCGCGGCAGATGCTGGGAGTAGTATTTGAAGAGTTCGGCTGTGGCGCCCGGGCAGTTGGTCAGTTCCAGCTCCTCTAGGTCCTGCAGTTGGATCAGGCCTGATAGGCCAGTAGTGGTCAGCAGAGGGCACCCTGAGACAGAGTAAATGAGAGCTGGTCAACTACAAACGATAGCAGCCACCTCCACTCAACAGCTCAATTCCTGTTTATAATGCTGTGTGACAACAATGAGAGGAAGTGTTTTCAACCACAGAAATGTAAAGTTTGTAGTTTAAAAGTGAAGCTCATTATGTTATATGACATTGACTATAATTATTTAAAAGGAACGTGCTTGGTCTGGATGAAGGGGTACTTGAGCCCTTTGTATGAAGCCATGTGGGGGGAAAACACTAGAATAGAAAATCCTTATGCACAGCTACTGTTAGAACAGGCAGATATTTCTAATCTGCAAATGTAATTTTGAATTAGACTTTATCACACCGTGTTTATGTGTTCATTAACTAAAAGGAAAGTTTATCTTTCTGTTCCAAAGCAATATATTTTACTCTGACAGCATTATCTGTTTTTGAGGGATTAACTGAGCTTTCTTCCATAACATGATTAAAGGAACACTATTTTTGAAAATATGCTCATTTTCCAACAGCCGATCTCCGGGTCTGGCGGTAGCATTTTTAGCTGTAGCTTAGCATAGATCATTGAATCTGATTAGACCGTTAGCATCTCGCTCAAAAATTACCAAAGAGTTTCTATATTTTTCCTATACTCTAATTCCGACGTAATAATCAAGGAACTTTGCTGCCGTACCATGGGTGCAGCAGGCGCAATGATATTACGCAGCGCCTGAAAATAGTCCCCAGCAGGCTCCCTGTGCAAGCAGGTGGTCACGATGGTTATGTTGACGGAAGTTAGCCTATTTTCAGGCACTGCGTAATATCATTGCGCCTGCTGCACCCATGGTACGGCAGCAAAGTTCCTTGATTATTATGCCAGAATGAAAGTATAGTTCCTAGCCATATCGGTCTTGAAAATCGCAACTTTTCATTTTCCGTCGGTCTTAGTACACGATGTAACTACAGAAGAGTCAAGTTTTAAATAGGAAAAATATAGAAACTCTTTGGTCATTTTTGAGCGAGATGCTAACGGTCTAATCAGATTCAATGATCTATGCTACGCTACAGCTAAAAGTGCTACCGCCAGACCTGGAGATCGGCTGAATGAATTCGAAAACGGTAAAACTCAACTGTTTAACTCTAGGGGAGTTGGAAAATTCCTATTTTCAAAAATAGTGGAGTGTTCCTTTAAGCTCAGGTATTCATAGAAACAATCTACTTCCAAACATACAGTGTCATTCCATTATAGAACTTTATCAGGACTTTATCATTGCATTCTGCAGTATCAGCACTTCCAGAGTGTTTTTACCTGCTAGAGAGAGAAGACGAAGACTCCTCATGCCATATAGATGCTGTAACCCAAAGTCTTGCACCTAAAAGTACAGGGAAATGTTTTGGTGATGTGACATGCCAGAAATGATCTAATATATACATTTTAACCTAATTGTGATTAATAAAAAAGTTAATGGATAATGTAAACTACCCATAACTTTATTTTCATAATAACACTTACCTGACAGCACCAGCGCAGGTAGATACTTCTCAGAGTTGACATGGTCGATAAGTAACCCAGGCCTGTATCTGTGATCCGCACACATCTGAATACAGCCATATAAATGAGAGTCATAAGCACACAATATGAATATAGTAATCATTATTTCCATGTACCAAATTTACTCCCAATGAGGCTCTGTAAGAGGAAATATCAGCAAGATTTACTTTACACTCCATACTGCAAACTCAGCACACTCACCGGTCCAGAACCAGCTCCTCCAGCTTGTGTAGGTCACAGGCGATATACTCAAGGGCCATGTCAGTAATACGGGGGCACCAGGACAGATCCAGACTCCGGAGCTTCCTCAGATTCTCTGCAACCAATTCCACACCATCGTCGGTGATCTTCGAGCAGCCTGACAGGCTGAGGGAGGTGAGGTTTGGCAGGCTGTGCACCATGTTAACTACGCCATGGTTGGTGATCTCCCAGCAGGAGTTCAGGCGCAGCGTGTGGGTGGTGTAGCCTTGCTTGGCGGTGAAGTAGGCCATGGCCGTGTCGGTCACGTGATAGGCCTGCAGGCTGAGCTCTGATAGGTTGGGAAGGAGCTGAGAAATGGCCGCGATGGCATCGTCTGCCACATTGATGCAGTCGCTGACGCTGAGAGAGGTAAGCCGCGCATTCAGGCTGGACCACAGGCCGGCTTCTGTGAAATCATTGCAGCCGGAGAGTTCAAGGTGCATCAGACCCTGCATCTGTTCCAGCATCACCTGAAGAGTTCAGGAGAAGCAATGCTATGTCAAGCATACACACAAAATGTGCTACTAGTGCAGTGCAAGTTGTCCAAAGCTTAAATGGGTCATATGATGCAATTTCAAGTTTTCCTTTCTCTTTGGAGTGTTACAAGTTGTTCGTGAATAGATAAGATCCCTAAAGTTGCAAAGACTAAAGTCTCAAACCCAAAGAGATATTCTTTATAAAAGTTAAGACTGGTCCACGCCCTCCAAAAACGCCTCCTTCAAACACGCCCCCACATGTCTACGTCACTGTGTGGGAAGATTGCATAACGCCGCTAGGGTTGGGTATCGTTTGGGTTTTTTACGATACCGGTGCCAAATCGATCCTTTTAAAACGGTACCGGTGCCTAAATGGTGCCTGAACCAATACTTTAAAAAATAAATCAATAAATAACCAAAATTGGATGGATTGACCATTATTGAGCGCTATAAACACATTTAATGTCTATTTCATTCATACTGGACGCAAGAGGGCGCCCTCGCGCAGAAACTCCACATGTGCATCACAGAAGGAATAGGACTCAGGAAATCCCTATACTCTTTGCTAATATGGACAAAGGCATTGCTATGGCTGTAATTGAGTAGACAGAAGATATAAACATTTTGAATGATAAAACAAAGACAATAAACACTTGACTGCGACAATGTATAGTTTATCGGTGTTATTCAAGCCATCTTTGGTATTTTCATCATAAGTATATTTATAATCAATTGCTAATCGACAGTCTTTTTACCATATGCTTTTTACAGTATAGAACATATTTTCTGCCTCATTCTGTGACAAGAAGCCACATCAGATCACAAAAGGAAGCAGTTGTGGAGTAAAAACTTTATAGTGTTCTCTTTTGTTGGACAACAGGTTTAGAAACGCTTCTCATTGCAAGTCATAACAAGGGAAGTTTAGCTTTAGGCAGTTTAATTTAAGAATGTTTAGCTTAGCTAGCTAACGGTATCTACCTGCTGCCATCAGAGCAAGTGTAATTGCTGCATTCACGCGCTCCTCGGATGCTCTCATTTCCCGAGTTGTGCTTTTAAGTCGGAATGTGAAAACGAATGGACACTCGCGTTACTATAAAGATGTGTTGGATTTGTATTATTAGAGCTTTCCAACTTGCGTTCGTGAATTTTCTCAGTCGAGAAATTATTTTTCACATGCAGTGCCGGTCATCCTTACGTCCGTTTCAGAGAACAAATATTTAAATCGATCGCTCAAGCATTTAAGTGGCACCGAAATGAGGCACCATATTGGCACCGGGTTTCGGTACCCAACCCTAAATGCCGCCCAAATGTTCACGCAAAGAAAGAAGGCGTAAAATAATATTTATAGGTCATTCTGAGGTCACTCAGCCCCCCAACATACTCCAAATTCACCCCAAATAGTCTTGTTTGTTTGTGCTTCGTTTGTGCTGGTT